TACTTACGTAAATGCTCCACTCTAATCTAGATTGGGAGGCGCCACTGAGGTCCTGAGGAAGCCTCCAGGAAACAGAGATATATTGTGTGACCCATTAGTGCTCTACTGCATCTTGATTGACTTACCCCCTCCCTGAGACCCCTCTGTGGGGGGATGTTCCATTGTCCACAGATGAGCTTTGGGTCTCCGCTCCAACCCCCACTCCATTCTCACCGATGCATTTTTGTTTGTTTGTTTGTTTGTTTTGAATCTTCTGATGTCCGTTGCCCTGTCTCGATGACACCTCACCATCGCACCAACTGGTGTGCTCTTCCATGTGGCCTTGCTGCTTCACTGTTGGATGGCTGCTTGTTTAACTTCAAGCCTTTAAGACCCCAGACACTGTATCTTTTAACAGCCGGGCACCATCCTCTGTCTTCACCACATCTGCTTATGCACCCATTTTGTCTTCAGCGATCATGTAGGGGTTATTTAGTATTGTTAGCAAGCTTGGTTTTTAATACCATATTCTTCTTTCTAGGATTACCAGGATGTTATAGACACTCCTATGGACTTCAGCACTGTGAAGGAAACCTTAGAAACAGGAAATTATAGTAGTCCTCTGGAATTTTATAAGGATGTTCACCAGATATTCAGCAACTCCAAAGCTTATACTTCTAACAAAAAGTCAAGGGTATGAATTTAAGCAATTAGTTACTTATATTAGACAGTTTTCTTTCACACATTTTTAAATTGCTGAACAAGTATATACGAAGAGCTTGAAAAAGTTTGTGGGAAATTGAATATATGGTTTTCTTATGTCCTCTTCAATGATGAGCATTATGAAATATTCTCTTTTTAAAAATCAGATGATTAAAAAAATGGTGTGCTATTTTAATTTGTATTTTCCTGATTAAATATGAGAGTATATAATAGGTAATAACATCATTACAAATGTTTATTAGTTATTTTCTCTTCTATAAGTTGCCTGCCTATATGTTTCATCAACTTCACTATATTTAGAGAATGTACTTCACCCTAGAGATTTTATGTGTGTAGACACACCCATAGACAATTTCCAGAAAATGATCCTGAGGTATGCATCCATTATATGTTGAGGCAGAACCAGCACTGGTTGTCATTTCATGTACTATTATTTTCAATAGACTAGCCAAAAATCAGACAATGAGTTGTTACACAAGATACTTTCTTGAAATTTACTTTATTTTTTTAAATTCTGCTTTTTCTAATTTCAAAAAAAAAATTCAACTGGTCTCTATTTCTCTTTTATGTGATTGTTATATAAATAACTCTCCTACTAATGTCATTTGGAAGTTTTGCTACATAAATTTTTTTTTTCAAGTAAAAGACTTTGTGGGAAAATTCCATTATCTTAATTTTTCCATGAACTTTTTGAAGCCCCCTTATAGTACAATTCTGACATCATTACTAAAGAAGTTTGATTCTCTGTGTCTTCTGTGAAACATGAGTTGTTCATTAGATTGTCGTGAAGATACATTTAATATAGGCATTCTGAATTTAAGCACATCTACCTGCCTTTTTTTCTTTCATAGTACTTTTAGCTAAAGTGTGATTACTATGACCCTAATCTTTCCTCCTCTCTAACAGAGGGAGGTTAAAGAAGAAAGAGGTAATAATTTGAATACCCTTTAATATATAATAAATGCTTTGATAATAAAGGTGTATGACCGTAGTCATTTATATGAAATATTTGGATGGTTCTGAATAATAATGAGCCATACTAAGAGGCTGTAGCTAATTTATACTCATATTTAGCATGTTCTTTGTGCTTTATCAGAACTTAAATATCCTGAAAACAAAACATTTAGTCATTACAATTTCTCTTTTAAAATACTGGTTTCCAATTAAATTTTACTGCACAGTATGTATATCTGCCCCACTTCTACTCTATATAAAATGAATTTTCACGTTTTTTGTAGGCACAATTTTTTCACATTTGGTTTTTATTTCCCAATCCCGATTATTAGAATAATGTGTATTATCTGTAGAAAGTTTGAGAAATACATAGAAGTACAAAAATAAAACAAAAATCATCAGTAAATCCCATTGCCCATTTTTATTTACACTTAATATTTAATTCATAGAGTTCTGATATTTCCTACATACACATACGAGAGGATACCCAATAAAAAACCGGACCATTTTTTTTTAAGGCTATGTATTTAAATTATTTAAAAAACAACCTTATAACCTTCAAAGTACTCTCCATTACACTTAATACATTTGTCAAATCTGCAATTCCATTCTTGGAAACATTTTCAACCTCATTTGTTTGGATGGCTGACACCACCTCCCTCATTTGTTTTTCACCTATCTGCGTCATCCAATCACTGTCCTTTAATGTTCCTCTGCATCCATGGAAACAAAAAGAAGTCACACGGAGCAAGGTCAGGTGAGTAAGGTGCATGGGGCAAGAGAGGCATGCTGAGATTTGCCCAAAACTGGCGCATTGAGATGGCTGCGTGAGCAGGTGCCTTGTCGTGGTGGCAAAACCAGTCCCCCGTCTGCCAAAAATTGGGCTTTTTTTTTTGTCACACACTGTTACACAAACTTTTCAGAACCTCTAACTTGAAAACTTGATTAACAGTCTGACCTGGTGGAATGCACAAGTGGACATTTTTGTCCATTTGGGAAGTTGATGGACCTCTAGAACAAGGTTTGTCATCAATTGACACCTTTTTTGAAACAAGAAAACCACTCATACACTTAAGTTTTCCCTATAGAGCTGTCCTTGTAAGCTGTGTTCAACATCACAACAGTTTCTGCAGCAATTGTCCCAAGCTGGAAACAATTTCACAGCCGCACGCTGTTCTCTTAAATCAGCCATCACAAAAAACAAGGCTCGAGCAAAACTGCTTTTATGAAAAAGTCCACTGTGACCAGAGAGAACCTTCGCAGTCAAAGCCACTGGGCGCCCTAACTCAAAGCAAGTTGCTCAATGCACGCCTAGTGGGAAAAATGCGAACAAGAAAGCTATGCTCCACCCAGCGCAATTCCGGTTTTTGGGGGGTACCCCCTTGTATGTGTACAAATACTATATTTTTACACATATCAGGTGCATATGTAAACGATGTACATACACATATATAAACTAAAAGTGCACACAGGAAGCTCACATGAAAGGTTTACAAGGTTTGCAAAAAATGTATTATTTACATATATTCATTAAAAAATAGGTTTTGTATTTTGAAGACTTTTAAATTTTTTCCATTTCCTATATGACTCTTATAAACCAGGATTTTTAATGTTTGCACTGTATGCCAAGGAACCCTGGTGGTACAACAGCTAAGCTCTGGGCTGTTATTTCAAAGGTTAATGCTTCAAACCCACCCAATAACTCTGTGTGAGAAAGACCTTGACATTTTTTTCCATAAAGGTTACAGTAAAGAAAACTCTATGGGGCAGTTCTATTCTATCACATAGAGTCACTTTAAATTAAAGTCAACCTGAGTGCTGCTATCAACAGCAGCAACAACATTGTTATTCTGATGAACAGTAGTTTTGTGTTATTTAACCAGTGTCATGCTTCTAGTGAGTAAGGCTTTTTCTAGATTTTTATTTTACCTGAATAATGCTGTAGCTAACTAACTTTGACATCCTTGAACAAAAATGACGTCTAATTCTCTGGTGGTTCATTAAGATTAATTTCCAGAAGTGAAATTATTAACCCAAAGATGTACATAACCTTAACGTTTTTGCACGTTTCCAACTGTTCTTTAAAATATTGTTCCAGTTAAATTTACCACTAACATTATATGAGAGTCCTTTTCCCCTATCCTTCCCAATCATAAAGGAGCCCTAGTGGCATGTAGTAAGTTGTAGTGGTTATAGTTGAGCAGTTTGAAACGACCAGCTACTCCCATAAAGGGTTATAGTCTCAGAAACTCACAGGGGCACTTCTACCCTGTCATAAGTTCTACCTCGTCATATAGGGTCACTATGAGTTGGAGTCCACTGCCATCAAGTGGAGTTAGTTAGTGGAGTGAGTTTGAATGACATGTAACAATGCATGTAGCGGCTTATGCATTGTGTTGCTAATTGTAAGGACAGCAGTTTAAACTCACCCAGTACTCTGCAGAAGAGGCATGAGGCTGTGTGCTCTCATTAAAGATGTATAGTATAGTCTCAGAATCCTCAAAACAATACAAAAAACTCACTGCTATTGAGTCAATTCTGACTCATAGCGACTCTCTTAAGTTACTGGGACTCTAACCCTTTTGGGGAGTAGAAAACCTCATCTTTCATCCATGGAGTTGGCTGGTGGTTTCCAACTGCTGATCTTGAGGTTGACAGCACAAGGTGTAATCCCTATGCCACGGGGGCTTCAAGAAACCAAAAGGGGCAGTTTTACTCTGACTTCTGGAGTCACTGAATCAGAATGGACTTTATGACAGTGCACTTGGTTTTGGTTTAGCTCCAATGATAAGAAATCTGATAGCGGAGTAGGTTAAGCAGTGGGCTGGTAATTGGCAGCTCGGTGGTGCAAACTAACTCATCAGTCGCTATGCAGGAGAGAGAGAAGGCCCATCTGCTCCCATAAACACAGTCCCAGAAACCATCCAGAGCAGCTCTGCTCTATACAATGGGTATCAGGCATACTTGACTCAATGGCAGTGGGTTTGGATTCTCCTAACAACGACTATTCTCTTTTAAAAATATTTATTAAGTTTTAGATGAAAAGGATAATTGGTTTGAATTCTGCTGGAAGAATTTTTTTGTGTAAATGACAGTATGTGTAATTTGTCTAGAATATTGATAGTGATATTATTCCAGGCCTATTGATATGTTTTCTGTATGTAAAATAACTCTAATTTCCACTTTCCAGATCTATAGCATGACGCTGCGATTATCTGCTTTGTTTGAAAGTCATATTAAAAATATTATCTCTGAATATAAGTCCACAATCCAGAGTCAGAAGAGGAGAAGGCCACGGTACCGAAAACGCTTAAGAAGCAGTAGCAGCTCATTATCTAGTAGCAGAGCTCCTAGGTATGTTACATCAATGTATGATTTTATATTTTGTATAAAATGTATCCATTTATATTTTAAAGTTTATATTTGATATTCTCAAAGTTTATGTTGAATTCAAGAGGTTCCTATGTGAATTTTTTAACCCTTGTACCTGTATAAAGATTGAGTTAGCTATTCAAGACTTTGTTTATATGTGCATTTGACTACACTACAATAAAAGCTTCTCTTTTTAATGATTCAGATTTTATATAGTTAAATTGCCGATATGCAGCATTTCACTTTAATTTTAGGACATTTCTTCTTTAGTTACCTGTAGCATTTTGTATCTGTCATGATGTGTTGCTAAGATATAAAAAATGTTCACTGTTTTCTGTTTTTACTTGTAGTCCAAAAGGGAAACAAAAACAAATGAAGTTGCAGCCTAAAAATGACCAGAATACCTCAGTGTCTTATGCCAGGACTAGTTCTCCTTTCTCATCTCCTGGTAAATATATTTTTTGTTTTTGATGTTGTATGTCTCAGCTTGTTACTGATGGTAAGTATAAAGAAGAGGCGGCAGGGTTAAAAATGCAAAGAGCAATATATTTGGATTTAGAAAAAAAAATGTACTATAGTTCCAGTTCCACTTACTAGCGGCCTGGGCTTACATAAGACTTAGGAATTTTTAGTTACCTCATTAGTTACCATATATACTTATGTATAAGCTGAGTTTTTCCAGTACATTTTTAATGCCGTTTTTGTGGTAAGATTAGGTGCCTCCGCTGATATTCGGGTCAGCTTATACTCGAGTGTATACGGTAATACATGAAAGTGCTAAAACTAGTAAATTTTAAAGTCTCTTCTAGTTTTAAAACTGTGATTTTGATTTTTTAACATCTATGATTCCTAATATCTGTAATATATGTGCCAAGAAAAGAATGAAATATTCATTAGGTGTGAAGGTGGTACTTCTTGAATAAGTTTCAGATATTTCATACCCAAAATTTTAGTGATAAATCATTTGTTCACAAAATAATCATCTTTCTCTCTTAGGACAATTTGGTGAATGTATAGGTTAAAATAATTAAATGGGACACAAAAAAATTTAAGAACAGAGCCTCCATAAATTTTCTGAAAACATAACAATAGTGTTAATATGACTTTTAAAAAAAACTATAAGTTTCAGATACTGCTGAAGGGCTTTCACTATATGTACTTGATGAACTGGATGGACCATTTTCTTCAGCAAGCTTCAGTGAATATGGAAATAGCCCTGATCCGGGGAAAGCCAGATCACTCAGAAATAGAGTTTTGCCAGTTAAACAAGGTATGAAATAAATATGGACATAAGCTTTTATTCTTTGTTTCCTTATGATTGTTGATGAATCATCTAAACACTGATCCATGTAGGTAGGGGAATATTGGCATGTCCTTATAGATTATGAGGATTTTAATATTTGAGTTAGAGTTTCATGTCTACAATCTGGAATAAATATTTTCAAACATAATCTTTTAAAATAAAGTGAATAAGGAGAAACATTAAATGAACAGTTCTTTCTCAAGTACATAAACCCAGATTGTTAGACACACTTAGGAATTTTAATATATTAACCCAGATGAACTAAAGAGGGCAGAGGATGGTGGTGGTAGTGGCAAAGCCATTTTTAAGTAGGTCTCATTTTTATAGGCCAATTTAGAAAGGGGGCTGCAGGGGTGGGGCCCCAGGTTGAGAACAAGGGCCTTTATGAAGTAAACAACCACTTCTACCTTAGCTTACCAGAGGCATGCTGTATCACTAGGTCAGTGGTTTTCAGACTACTCTGCCCATTTCTAGAGGGTCCCCAGAAGTTACTTCAGCAATTCTCAGAAGAACCTTTCCAACTCCACCATAACAGCTCTTTTTACACTTCATATACTGAGCTTTTGTGGAGCCCTGGTGGCACGTAATACATTATGCATTGAGCGGTTGACAACAATGTCAGCAGTTCAAACCCACAGGGGCAGTTCTACTCTGCCCTATAGTGTCGCTATGAGTCAGAATTGGCTCAATGGTGGCGAGTGCTTTTTGTTTCGTTTTTTGGAGTTTGGGGTTTTCATATAACTTTTCCTTGAAGAAAACATTTGCCTGTTTATGAAAAAATATCAGTGGCCTAACTTATTATCATGTATCTCCATCTTGAACCACGGCAGGGCGTATCAGTTATCAGAAATGTTTGAGTATTATTGTTGTTATACAAACTTCCTTCTTACCCTTTATCCTATGGTATGGACCTTGAATTTGTTCAGAGAAAGTTCTATTATGTTCAACTATTTGAAGTTTTTGAAAGAATACTTAATATGTTTTTAGAAATCTCTATAATATTTTATTTTAAAATTTTAAAGAAAGATTAAGTAGTCCATCCATTGTTTGTTCTTAAGAAAAACAAACTTCCAAAGGTATATTTCATCTTAACTATGTGAGAGATATTGAACTATATCTGATTAACTGGGAAAAAGTAGTGCCTTTCCCACCACATTGTGCCTTCACTCTCTCCTTTCATCCTGCTGCACATTACATACTGTTGACCCTGCCTTTCCTCACTTTGCCCTTTCCCTCACTGTCATGCTTTTAGGGGGGAAATAGTCTTTACTGCTTTTACTTTCTTTCATGCACATTCTACTTTATCCTCTGTAATATGACTTCTGTCCTATTTTTCTCATAAAGCTATTCTACCCAGAATGAGCCATACAGTAGGCAACCCAGGGTCCTTTTCTTAGTCTCAGTCTGTTTGATCGCTCTTGATCATTGCACATTATTTCCAATGGACACTTGCCAATTTCCATCATAAGCTTGCTTCTTTCATCTATGTTCACTATTGTAGTAAATGACACCATCATCTTCTTAGTCATCCAACTTAAAATCCTTTATATCCTGTCAGTTACCTAGTTCTATGGATTCTACAATTCTTTAATACTGCCTAAATCTATCTATATTGTCTATAGTTTACCTTGCTATCATCTTAGTTTCTACTCTGGACCATTAGGATAATTTTGTAGCTATGGTCACCACATCCCTGTCCTCATTTTTCCAATCCTTCCAGTTCATTCCAATTTTCCTCCTACCTCACCGGTCATTCCTTCTCGGTTGTCTTTGATGATGCTTCCATGTTAAGTATTAGAGTATCACAAGGATCATTCCTATTCCTCAGCCACTTTCTCCCTTTTCACTTGCTCTCTCGATAAGTTCACCCAGTTCTCATGAACTTATATACTACCTATTTACTGAATAATCGCCAAACTTATATTTCAAGCTCCAACATTTCCCTTGAGTCCAGACATTGTTTTATCCACATGCTTTACTTATGTATTAATTTAATGTCTCCACTTGACTCTCTAATAGCATCTAAAACTAGAGTCTTGATCTTTATCTATCTCTTTCCATTCCTCTTTCCAAGTATGCAAACTTGGGACAATGGCTCTACCATTCATTCACTTAACATTACATCTGCTATCCAGTCCTGTCAGCCCAAACATTAAAACTAAAGGTTGGTTCTGGTGGCTCCTCTTGAAAGAAATATTCTAAATCTAATCACCTCTTACTGCCTCTTAGTATACCCTTCATTATACTGTACCTTTTTCTGTTATGTGCTGTCAAGTCGATTCTGATTCATCAATTCCCAATTGATCTGTGTTTCTAATATTGCCTCCTCTATCAACCAGAGTATTATTTAAAAATGTAAATTAGATCCTGTCATTATCCAACTTTTATAACTCTCCACTTCCCATTGTTAGCTACCAATTCTTGTTCCTGTGTCCTTCTGTAGTCCACTGGCCTTCTGTTTCTTTTATTGCAAGAATCTTTCCTCACATCTTCTATCAAGGAGTTTTCTGTTTAGTACCACCTCTGAAGATAAGTTTTCCATATCTAAAATATACCCTTACTGTCACACACTCAAACTCTTTTCTTCACTTCTTTCTTTATAAAAATTAGCACTATTAAAATTATATATTGTGTACTTATTCAATTGATTGTCAGTGTCCCCCACTAAATTATGAATTCTAAGAGTTTTTTTATCTCATTCATCACCATAATTGAAGCTGCTAGCCATGTGTGGCCCATAGTAAATGTCTTAATAATCTAGTGCTGCTATAACAGACATACAATATGCTTAATTTTAACAAATTAATTGCCTTGTAGTTTAGGGAACTAGAAGTCAGAATTCAGGACATTGACTCTAGAGCAGTGGTTCTCAACCTTCCTAATGCCGCGACCCTTTAATACAGTTCCTCATGTTGTGGTGCCCCCCACAACCTTAAAATTATTTTTGTTGTTACTTCATCACTGTCATTTTGCTATTGTTGTGAAGTGGGCAACCCCTGCGAAAGGGTCGTACGAACCCCAAAGGGGTCGCAGCCCACAGGTTGAGAGCCGCTGCTCTAGAGAAGTGCCCTTGAGGAAGGCCCTTGTCGCTTGAGCTTCTGCTTGGGGGTGCTCTTCATGTAGTTTGGCATCTCTCTTCCCTCATCTTTGCTCGCGTCCCTAAGCCTAATCTGCTCTTGTAGATCTCAAAGGTAATTGACTTAAATCCTATATAAATAGAGCTTGTTAACAAAGAAAGCTCTTTTCCAAATGAAATTATAGCCAACTATATATAAGGATTAGGATTTATGACACCTATTTTGGTGGATACAATTCAATCCATAGCAGGTATAAGTTCATACTCAAACTCCTTTCATGATCTTACCCCCTCTATCTTTGAGCACTAAATGTTTTTCAATATACTACATATTTTTCTTTTGACACTAAAACAAATTCTTATCAGTGTCAAAACTTAACTTATAAAAATCATTCATCTTGATTTAGATCACCCCCTTGATGATGGACCCCTTACAAATGGTGATGGCAGAGAAACTCGAACAGGCGTCAAGAGAAAACTACTTAATGCCTCAGAAGAAGAAGAAACCATGGAAGGAGAAGAGAGAGAGAGAAAAGAAACAAAGGAGAAATCACATGTATCCTCCTCAGAGAGTGAAGAGTTAGGATCCAGTTTAAGTTCTGAAAGTACCTGTGGTTCTGATTCTGACTCTGAATCAACTTCCAGAACAGATCAAGATTATGTAGATGGCGACCATGATTATAGCAAATTCATACAAACTAGACCTAAAAGAAAACTCAGAAAGCAACATGCCAATGGAAATAGAAACTGGAAGATGAGAGGCACTGGAGGAAGAGGCAGATGGGGCAGATGGGGTAGATGGAGTAGAGGAGGCAGGGGAAGAGGTGGCAGGGGAAGAGGGGGTGGTCGAGGCAGAGGTGGAGGTGGTGCTAGAGGGAGAGGGAGAGGAGGACGAGGGACTTCTAGAGGAGCTACCAGAGCCAAACGTGCACGTGTTACCGATGATGAATTTGATACCATGTTTTCAGGACGATTTAGTAGACTGCCAAGAATTAAAACAAGAAACCAAGGCAGGAGGACTGTTTTATATAATGATGATTCTGATAATGACAATTTTGTATCCACTGAGGATCCTCTGAATCTTGGTACATCTAGGTCAGGTAGAGTGCGTAAAATGACAGAAAAAGCCAGGGTTAGCCATCTCATGGGATGGAATTATTAACAGTTGATAAATTTAGAATAGTTAAAAAAATTCAATGGCCTTCTACTGCAGGGAATTTACCAGGAAATCTACAAAGCAAGTTGTGTGGGGACTTCTGCTTCCTTTCACATTGGTGCTTTTCCATTATGCCAGTATACGTTTGTTTCAAGACTTTAGATCTCCACACTTCATTTGTTCAAACAAGCCTTACTCATTAGGCCTTAAATTAAAAGAAATTCTGCCCATACACATGCATATATAGACACACTTACATGCACACACACAATACAGACACACTACAGATTTACTACATTAAAGAAGCATTTAGCTTCTTAAGAGTAGCATGACATTTTTATCTCAACGGAATATCCTTCTTTTGCTTTTATATTATAGAAGTATAGCACCTTCTTACAGAGTTTTATATAATTTGTTTTTGCCATTTTGATTCCTATACCCAGTAATAATAACTTTTGCACAATACACCAATCCTAAAGGCAGCTATAAAATGTTTACAGTTTCTATATTAAAAGAACAATCTGGATTATTTTACTCTCCTCCCAGGCCAAACTTTCATAAAACGTACTGAAGTATATATTTATACTACAGTTTTTGTTTTGTTTTGTTTTTTGGGGGTGGTTGTGTCTTGATGTGCTTTTAATTGATTTACACAATTCATGTAAAAGTTGAGAAAGGGTTGGTGCCTTGTAAATATGTAGCAAATCTTTGTGGTGTGTCCTAATGTGTGCGTTAACTTTATTAAAAGAAGAATACTTGAGGTATCAATCTAGACAAGGTGCCAAATTCAAATGTTTCTTGCATCTATTTTCTTTTTTTGCTTATGTTTTATTATTGTGTTAGTGGAAATCATGTAGCTTGAATAATAATTTAAACATATAAAAAATCCTCACCCAAACAGAATGACTTTTTTGAATAGTAGCTCCGCTACCTCTATTAACAAAACTACTGGAAAATAGATTATTGTTTGCATTACTGACTAAGGAGAAATAGAACATGCTAGGTAGGAATGAGTACTCAAGTTGTAAGTTGAGAGGTTGTTAATAATTATATCAGCATTCAAATTTAATAGTTGTAATTAAGTTTCATAAAGTAAAATATCTACCTTAGGTGTTTCTTAAAACATGTTTTTATAAGTAGGTTTGGGCTACTGCTTTATGTATCTCTGCTACCAATGAACAATTTCACAGTTGTGATTTGCTGATTTTTATTGAATCTTAAAATTTAACCAAGCACCTAGTTTTGAGTTGGAATATTTTGGCTAGCTAATATCTTGAATCACTTTTAATAGGTTCTCATACCATTTCAAAGAGTTCTTTGTTACGGTCTTTCAGAAAAGAACTTCATTGTGCTGCACACAGATATTTTGAATAATTATTTTATAGAGTAGAAAATCTTATAAATCCTTATTGTCATGTTTACAGCAGTAGAGAGCACTGAATTCTCTAAGCCTGCTTGAATTCCAAGATCAATTTTATTCCTCAAATTTGAAACATTACACATTTGCTAATATCTTAGATAAAGTTTGGAAATGCGAGGGATAATATTGATCTCTGTTTTTACAGCAGCAGATTTGTTGCACCTATATCAGACAACGGGATAGACAAATCTATTTAATATATACCTAATAATCTAGGATATTTCTTAAGCTGATACATTTGTCTCATGCTTTCAATCATTTCATGCATCTAAAAATCCTTAAGCACAGAGGAAGGACACACTTACTTTGCTTTTTTGGCAGGACGAGAATAGTGATTATTCTTGGACTATCACTTTTAAACAGTTTTCACTTGCAGTAGAAATGATGTTCAGGTTTTAAGAAAATATTGTTGTGAATTGCTAATAGCTCTGACTTCAATTACTGGGACAGTAGTCCAAGTTGATATTTTCGTGTGTGTGTGTGTGTGTGTGTGTGTGTGTGTGTGTTTCCCTATTGCTCTTTTTTTTCTCTCACTAAACCAAAACTGCTACTGGTTGCAACTAAGCTGCCACTTTTAACCATACAATAGATTTTTAAAACTTCATATTTCAAACTCTACCTTTGATTTTTGGTAAAAATGTGCTATTTAAGTTATTCTTGGGCATTTAGACTAAATTGTGCCTGTGTTTTCCTGGAATTAATATTTTGGCTGAAAAAAATCTAACAAAGTTACTTAAATTGATGGATACATCCAAATGTGTACCATTTTTTTTAGTGCGGACTTTTTGTGGTGCTATTCTTTTATGAAGAGCTGATCTCTTGAAATGTAGAAGAATGGCCATTTGTGTTACTTTAACTATCTGTAGCTTTATAATTTATTTTGAAAAATGAAAATGCTACATTTATTCCCCAAATGTCAAGATTTAATAGATTTAGATAATTAAAATAATATGCCTGAAGACATTTTATATGTAGTGAAATACTGTGAAAATACTGGTAAAATGCCTTTTGCTGAAATGTTTATTTCAATGACTAGGATCTAAAGAGTTAGTCATCAGGGTAGGTTAGATGAGTATAGTTATCATTTATTACAAAACATTATTTTGTGTTTGCATGTACAGTATTTTTAATAAGTATGAAAATTAGAGTTTGGAAGATAGCCTTTTTACTTTTATACCTGGGTATTTTTCCCCCTCAATTTATACTTTGTTTTTGTTGGTTTTTTTTGTAACTTCACCTCTGAATGTGTAATGATTTTTATCACATTGAATATCACTTTAGTTTTTTAGAGGCCCTTTAAAACTAAATGAGCTAGATCCAGCCATAGCAAGTCAAATAGGAAATGAAGTAAGAATTTTGAAGAAAAGAAGTCTAAATCTTGAAATTGCAAAGAAAAACCACTGTTCCATTTATGTCTATAAGAGCATACACATATGTTCACTTGATCCTATGTTAGATATTAATAGTGAGCTATAATATTTCTTATGAATACAATTGTTTAAATTAGCAGCTTTAAGACCTTAGCATGTGTCCGTGTTTATGAGAACAAAATCGTGTGTTTCTTCAATACTATGGCTATGGCTTGCCGTGTGTGTCTTCGCCAGCAATCATGCTAGCCAAATGATTAAAATTGTTTTGTGTGTGTGTATGTATGTGTGTGCAGGAATGATTGTATGTAGGTGTTTGGTTTGGTTTGGGATTTTTTTGTTTTATTTTTATTTTTTCCCCCAACACAACTTACCTTAATCCAGGCATTAAAAGAAAAGCATTATATAAAGAAGGCAGCCACATTTACTGTCTTCTAAATTTTGCCGCTGTAATGGTCATAGCCTATGTACACACTGCTTGATCGCCCATTTTAATATCATGTCTTCTATTAAGTTAAACAATTTTTGCTGTATACCTGTGCACCTCTACTCTCTTAATTTTATTTGTTCATTATTTGTTTTAATTTCTGTTTTTGTCCTCATATATAATGTGTATGCTGGAATTTACTGTTTCACTCACAGGTTAAGAAGCTGAATAAAATTCACAAATCTCATTCTGTGCAACGCTGTGCTCAGACCGAACTCGACCTTCCAATATTTTTAAGTGAATTTGAGTGATTCTGTTTTTAAAATTTTTATTTTAATCCCATAGATTGTCATCTATAACAGAGGGATTGAAAGAAAAATATGTGAATGTCACTGCTAACTATTTGATAAAAAAGTTTTTGAGCATTTAAAAAGTTTTGTATGTTTGTGATAATGTTAAATTAAACACCTTATTACTTGCTTATATACCTCGGGAATTATTTTATGCATATTCACCAACTGGTACTTATCTTCAAAGTTGGAATTTTCACATTCACAAAAAGACTTCAAAAAGTTTGTGGAAAATTGAAATAAAATATTATTAAATCTTTCCACAAACTTTGTGAAGCCCTCTCATATAATTGTCAGTATACTTGGTATCCCCCTTTAAATAATTGCCAACAATTTTGTGTACCAAAATGAATAATTTGGGCCTGAAGGAAGGAATGCATCTTTTGACATTTAAAGTCCATTGCTTTAAATGCCAACTCCATCCATAGCATTTTGTGTTACATGACACTTTATGACATTTTTATTCAAAATAATGTTCTAAGATAATTTTATTTCTTGAACTACTGTGAACATATTTTGATACATTTTTTGCTTTTCATCTCGTTTCTTTTTTGGTTTGCTAAGTTTTGATTAAGTCCCAATATAAAGTTACATCTTTTTCCCATGGTGCTGTGCTTTGTGGCACTCTGGTGTCTTGATATTTATTTTCTTGTACAAGGTGATTTCAGAAAATTTGTGAAAATTTTCCATTCCATTTTTCCATAAATGTCCAAGTCACCTTGTGTACCCTTGTCTTTTTCCATTGTTACTCTCCTCCATACTTTTATTTCTGCAATAAAAATAGCACCTGAGAACACTTAAACAAGACTGGCAATTACTGATTCATTGATGGGAGTACAGTAGAATGGCCCTGCAATTTAGAGTTAAGATGTATTTGTTTGCTTATTAACATGAATGCCCATTTGTTATTCTTATATCTATATTAGTTAAAGCTAGAACATGGGAATTTGACAGAAAAAAGCATGATGATGAGTATTTTCTAAAAAATATAACTTCGCTACATACTGAAATCACCATCGGTTAATTGATTTTTTAAGCATTCAGTCAGAAACCCAGTTGGGAAATGTGTTTTTACATATGTCACCAGACATTAGACAGTACTGAAAATGTTAGTTCTTTAAACAATACTGTGGTGATGGCAATCGCTAATTTATTTCTTTGTCCTGTAATTTACCATTCTTGTCCTTTGTAATCCCTTACACAGTATTAAACCTGTACCTTATGTTTGTTCTTAGTATCTAAAAATTTTAAGATGGAAAATCATTCAGTTAACAGTTGATGTGATGTTGTATATGGGCAAAATGTCCATTAAAGTAAAATTCAGTAAAGAAAGGTAAACTAAACTGGCTTGGTTTATAAAAGTTGATTTGTTTGGCAAATGTCAGTCATGATGAGCAATTATCTTCAAAGACAAAACCTGGACTAATCTGTTGCCATTCTTTATGGGATGTTTACAATAAAATTCCAAGTTGTTTGGAATCTATTGCACTCTTGCTACTTTATGCCTTAACTAATGGTGAATTAATGAGGAGGAGATAAGAGAGTTGTCTTTCTACTATATAACTTTAGAGATTATAACGAGTTCTTGGGTCTTTTTTTTTTTTAAGTCATGGAATGTTTTATTTTATTTTTAACCTGAGGGACTAAGGTGCTTTTTACTATGAAAATTAATACTTTTGTGCTTTTTGCAAATACTCTTTGAATTACTATTAGGTAATAAATATGATGTTAACACTTTAAATGTGGACTTTTTGCCATATTAAATAACAGCCTGAAAAGCATTAGACAATACTTTGTTTTGTATAATTCTTAAAGATGAATTAATTTCTATTGAGCTATACAAATTGCCTACAGAGGTTTGACGATACTATAAATGGTGCTTTAAATCAATGTAAATGTGGGAGGAACAGGGTAAGTGGGAACATAAGAGGTAACATTTGAGCCAAGAGCTGACAGGCCTAAAATGAACATCCATCTACTTCTTAACCGGTTAGGCTATTTTATACACAAATTGCTTTTACACTTAGAATCAAGAAGTAAGATATTTAGAAAAATATCTCCAATATTTTCTGGCATTGCATTCAATAGTAATGAAAGTAACCCATTTTTTTCCACAATATTTAAAGATTGTGAAGTGACCATACCTTGCTTGGTTGGTTCATTGGCAAAGGTAAACTAAACCCTCTTTTAAGATAATGTATTACATTAAAAATCCATCCATAGTAGACTTTGGTATATTTTTACCCACTACGATTTTAAACCAGAAATTAAAGAATTTTTATAACCAAACATTGCAGTAGTATTCAGAAAATGATCAGATTTTTAAAAAAATTGTTTGTTTTTATTTTTTTTGGTTTCAGATTTTTGTTAATTAAGAGGTCAAGAATGAAGCACTTTCTATCTTCAATGCTCAGTACAAATAGAAGGCTACTTTCCAAAATTTCACAAAGTAAAGTGTAGTGGGCCTATGAGTTCATTTGTCTGGGATATTTAAATGCAAGCATTTATAAATCTCGTTTATATTCTTGAGATCTTTTTTATGCTACATAAAAGAAGACCACATATAACATTACGTAGGATGAACAATTTTTGTAGTGGTGTTTTTTCCAGCTACATTTTTATTTCTTTTATTTATAATTGCAGTCTAAGAGGAGCCCTGGTACTAGAGTGGGTAAATGTTTGATTGTTAACCCAAAGGATAGCAGTTCAAAAATCTACCACCCTAACAGGAGAAAGATGTGGCAGTCTGCTCCCATAAAGATTTATAGTCTTAGAAACATGCACGATTTCCTTTTAGTGAAATTATTTCATCTTTAATTTTATATTGGAGATTTTAAAAGCAATTTCTGAAGCTAGTATTTCAGTAATATAGACAAACTCACTGCCATCAAAGTCAAATCTGCCTCATAGTGACCCTATAAGACAGGGTAAAACTGTCCCTGTGGGTTTCCAAGGCTATAAATCTTTATAAGAACATGATAGCCTCATGTTTCTCCCTCTGAGTGGCTGATGGATTCAAACTGCTGACCTTGTAGTTAGCAGCCTAATATGTAATCCACTACATGAAGTGATTCTTCATCCTTGGTAAGGGATGGCTAAAAGGAAACCACCATACCATTGCTTCCCAAGATTTGTCATTTATTCATCCAGGCATTTACATAGTGCCTGCTATGTGTCAAGCACTGTAAACTTTATACAGAGCTTTACAGATTACAACGTCCATTTCTCAGTCATCAGTCACACTAATGGTAAATTCTATTTTCAGATCAGAAAATAAGTGTTTCAGTGAAATCAAGTTATTTTATAAGGTTACATTTTATAATAAAGAGGAAAACCTTGTCCCATTGCCCTCCTTTCCCTATTCCCATAATGTAATTCCAAAGCCATGCTTATGTACTATGAAAACACATTTCTTTTGTATATGGCTAAGGTCATTTTAAAAAAAAGACACTGAGAAATAGACCATTTAATAAGACTTTGAGAGGTGAATCTTCATGCCTCTTGTACTGTTGTACTTTGGGGAGATGCTATTTGGGAGTGAGAATATTTTAAAATACTAGGTCTGGAAGCAGAAAAATAGATGAAGCTCCTCAAGTGCAATCTTATATCAACAAAAAGTTACACTGAGGAAATATACCCCAGGAAAGTGCGGGGAATTTACTCCCATCATGTTGAGAGGCTTAATTCTGTTAGATAAATTTGCACTACAGTACTTGATAATACGATTATTAATTGATACTACCTTCCATATTGTGTACCCTTGGCAGTTGTAGAACCTAGGACTTCTTTTCCCTTCTGAGTTCCAATGAGTCTCAGGTGCAGTTTTCAGAGTCTGTATCAGGGTTCCTCACTTGATCCCTTGGTTTAATTCAATTTAGGGTTTTGTTTTGAAAACTTGCTCCAAATCCAAAATGCCCAAGGCAAGTAAAAAAGCTGCTTTCACCACAAAATTTTTTTTTTGTTTTTACTTTCAAAATCGTTTAGTATCGTGTTAATATTTTGTTTTTCCTTTTTCTAATTAAGATGTCAGGGTATAACTAGTGTTTTCTGAGGATCTAAATAGACCTACAAATGGAGTTAAGCTGGATTTTAGCCCGTACTAATTTGAATTGTACAGAAGTTCTGTCATGTGTGGATCTTGATTATGAAGGCTCCCTGGTGATAAAGAGGGTTACTCAATGGGCTGCTAACGATACAAGGTCAGCAGTGTGACGAGCCACTCTAGAAGATACGGGAGACTCTGTTCCCTCAAAGTTTGATTTTGGAAACCCAATGAAGCATATCTACTCTGTCCTGTAGGGTTGCTATACGGCATATTCGTGTTTAAGTGGTTAATGGGATAGTTTGAGGTAACAACTCCAAACTTGCATGTTTTCAACAGGCTAGGATTTTCTTCATTTTCATGGAATGGGATTTGCAGTTCGTTTTGGAAAACTATTAGGCCTGTCCATGTTGCATTTGATTCCTGGATTTTCATTGGTCTCATGCATATGTCACATTTTGTCGCCTTTTCCCTTTATTCTGATCCCCACCCAAGGAACAACATATTTGTTTTTCAGCAAATATGATTGCATTCTTATATCAATAAGATTACCGTGGGAATCAAACATGGGGTGGAGTAGAAAATAGAGTATGTTGATCCAGGGGATGGCTCATTTACTAATTTCTAGTAAGTTCTCTTTACTTTGAGCCTCAAAATAGGAATGTTTATATTTCCAACTAGATAAAGCAAGGCAGGTTTCACTAACCAATTAAATCAACATTTAATCTTTGTTTATGCAGATAGTTCTTGGCTTACAATAGAGTTGTAATAACTCCATCATACATTGGCTGTGGCATAAGTTGAATACTTTTTTGGTTGCCTTTTATTAACAATATCTTTACAAATATATCTATATTTTGTGCGTGGGGTTAGAGATCTTGTATATAAACCTACAGATATATTTAATACATATATGAGTACATATTAATACACAAATCATAAAGATTTACTTGAGGAGTAAGACCACACTGGCATTTTGTCAGTTTCAGTAAAAGCTCTGCTGTGGAAGGTCTTGGATCATCTGTATTATCCCTAAGAATGGGGATAGTGTTTCTAGTCTGAAAACTAGTTTTCTATATGGTCTGTTTTTTTACTTAAGATTTTGTCATAAAGTCTTAGTGATCTGTGGTTGAATCCATGTTTTTAAGCAACTGAAGCCCCTGATTTCGGGTCGAAAAACTGCAACTAATACTTTTATATGAATTCCCACTGACTGAAACAGTGGGCTCAAACAAAAATGGCGAGGATGACACAGGACAAGGCAGTATTTAGTTCTGTTGTCCATTGGGTCACTAAAACTCAGCTGGCTTCACAGCACCTGACAACAACAACCCTTTAAGTTTTGATAACTTCTCTTCTTCCTTATTAGTTTTCTTTAGTTTTTCGTTTCATTTCAAAATCCATGAAGTGTTGATCTGTTTAATCTCCTTTGTGATTTCTGAGCTGTCGCATCTGCAATGTCAAGTTCGAAATTTAATGTTCTTGCCATATAGATGGTTTTCCCACAGATATTGTCTATCATACTATCCCTGCATGCATTTTCTCATAATGTCCTCCCAGAAAGGTATAATGTTATAAATACACAGATGCCCCAAATGATTTGTCAAATGCATTGATTTATGACTTTATGTATTAGGAGAATATAGCCAAGAAATCTGGAACGTGAAATTTATGTTGTGGTTGAACACAATGCTGTGGTCAGCGTGTCTGACCATGTGTATTCAGATGTAGTAGCCTGAGGTGAGAGTTGTATGTAAGACTACCCTTTCTATATTTAGCCATAGGTTGGCAGTTTTTACTCACTCAGAAGTGAGCCATAGAAGACAAACCTAGAGACATTTTCCTAAAAGACCACAGCCTATGAGCAGTTCCACTCTGCAACACAAGAGATTAAAATGGTGTCATAAAGGCTTGAAGTTAAACAAGCAGCCATCCAGCAAGGAAGCAGATAAGTCCACATGGAAGAAGCATACCAGTCTGTGTGATCATGAGGTGTCGACAGGATCAGGTATCAGGAATTAAAATATCCAAAACCAACAACTATATTGATGTGAATGAGGGGTTTTGGAGTGGAGACACAAAGCCCATCTGTAGACAATTGGACATCCCCCCACAGAAGAGTTATAAGGAAGGGATGATTCAACCAAGGTGCAGAAACACACATCATTCCTCTAGTTCCTGAACGCTTCTTCCCCACCCCCATTACCATGACCCAGTTCTACCTTACAAATCTGGCTAGACCGGAGAAAACATATAGATAAGAGCTCTCGACACATGGGATTCAGGACAGATAAACCCTTCAGGAACAGTAGGGGGAGTAGTGATATCATAAGGGGAGGGGGATGGTTGGGGAGGGGGAAGAGGGAGAAAGGGGGAACCCATCACAAGGTTGGATATAGAGCCCTGCCCCCCCAAGGGGACGAATAACCAAAATGTTGGTGAAAGGAGACGATGGACAGTGTAAGATATGAAATAATAATATATAACTGATCAAGGATTCACGAAGGTGGGCGAGGAAGGGGACAAAAAAGCTTATATCAAGGGCTCAAGTAGGAAATGTTTTGGAAATGATGATGGCAACATATGTACAAATGTGCTTGATACAATGGATGTATGGAATGTTATACAAGCTGTTAGGGCTCCCAATAAAATATTTTTTAAAAATTAGTTGGAATGGCAAATAACAAGCCTGCCTGAACTGGCATCAGGTACTGTGATCAGAACAGGGGGTAGGAAGAG